CCATTCAAACTGGCCGCTGGTTTTTTTGAATAAACAAAGAGGAGAATAGATAGAAAAGTGATATTTTAGCTTTAGGATGAGTAAATCCCTCCTTCACCAATGATCCGTCCCACCGTGCCCGAGGGCCTTTGGACCTCTGGTACCTTCGATTTTTCAACAAGTGTGGGTAAATTGCTGTTGTTGCCAATTTCGGCAAATGACAAAACATTGTAGCGTCTGCCGTCGGAGAGTACTCTCAATAGAACAGTTGTAATCGCATGGCTTTATGACGGGCGAATGGGGCGATTGAACCCAGGTCTCAGTATTGTTTGTGTCCCAGCACTGATCTACAATACAGTTACTCGGGGTCTGGTACTATGACGAGCAACGGTGGCCTTCTTGTGTTGTGGTAGCATCCATTTGTCGATCTGAATGCCGAGGAACAGTAAGGCTGCGTTTATACTTTGCGGCAGCGTAGCGTAGCGTAGCGTAGCGTAGCGCAGCGTAGCGTAGCGCTTCCAGCGTACGCCAGCGGCAGTGCCGAAGAGAGGATGCATATCGATCTAGCTTCACCAGCGTCACCAGCGGCACGCTAGCGTACGCTAGCGGCACGCTAGCGTACGCCAGCGTTTCTCCAGCGTTTCACCAGCGTTTTGCTAGCGTTTGCAGCGGCAGGGAGTAGAGACTATGTGGCCAGGCAGAGACGCGGAATCGACGCGTATTGTAGAGACTATGGGGCCGTCGAAGACGCAGAAGCGATGTGCATTGTAGAGACTATGGGGCCGCGAAGACGCAGAAGCGATGTGCATTGTAGAGACTAAGGGGCCGTCGAAGACGCAGAAGCGATGTGCATTGTAGAGACTAAGGGCGAGTGAGATACGCGCAATCGATGTGCTTTGTACCCTCCAGCTCTCCCATAGTCTCTTCCCCTGCCGCTGCAAACGCTAGCAAAACGCTGGTGAAACGCTGGAGAAACGCTGGCGTACGCTAGCGTGCCGCTGGTGACGCTGGTGAAGCTAGATCGATATGCATCCTCTCTCGGCACTGCCTGCCGTACGCTGGAAGGCTACGCTGACGCTTGGCGGCACTACGCTAGCTAACCTGCCCGCAAAGTATAACGTCAGCCCAATATACCCGACAAGCGACGGATTCTTCTCTGTAGTGACCCTTGAAAGCCACAGTGTGGGAATCCTTTGCTATGATGATCATCCACTTGCGCCCACGTAACTCTTCATGGTAGAACTCGGGCGGCTTCTCATCTGCATTCATACAAAATTGACGATTGTGAGTTTCGGCTCGAGGTCCGAGACCACCCATATTTCATCTAAGGCCTGGGTGCGTTTTCACAGTTGTGAGTGACATCTCATGCTGAGAACATTACTGCTAGAGGTATAGAATCGGTACTGCGTTCGTGCTTCTATAAGAAAATTAGGTACCCATGCGCACACCCCCTTGACCATCCTCAGTTTATCGTCATGACACGTACAGATAATTGCAGCAGGATGATCGTCTCGCGGAGATCCGACAAAGGTCAGGCCCTGCCTGTGATCAATTTCAGTGCCTGACTTCATCCACACGCGTTTTTCTTAGTGGAGGATAAATGTTTCTGGGACTAGATATCCGAGACAACAAATTTTTTCCTTTCTTCCTTGTACGGGCTCCTGAACCAAATCTTCCACCGTGTATTTCGAGAACACCCTTACACACAACTATGGTCCGGCGCAGGTCAAATTTGAGCAGCGCACTTTCCTCTTATGACGTCTGATTTGAAAAACCGGCGCCGATTTTCACCACTCGGGCTTCTTTTCAATTTCTCGAGAACTTCTTCTGTGGCTGGTTGCTAATTTCAGCGATCACGCTTAAAGTACTAGCTTCCATAATGGGTATAATAACCCGCTGCTCTATCCCTTTCTGCCATTCCTTATAATGTAGCGGCCCAGCTTTGAATGGATGACCTAATAAAAGCACTTGATGGTGCTGGAAGCAGAATTTTTTTTTATTTTTAAACCCTCAGATTTGGCTGGAGTGGGATCTCAGTGTAGTTCCAGCAAGAAATGAGAGCATGCCGACGAAAATTAGTGGTCTTTCCCCCATAGATAAGTAGCCAAATCAAGGACACAACCGTCGTACCCGTGATAAGACCTCCAACAACAGCTGATGCAAGAGCCGTGCCCATGCCGGCCAACTGATAAAGGGCTTGGATTTCACGATTCCTGTCACCATTCATTGGACCACCCTCGAAGTAGGGATATATATGGTAGAGCCTGAAGGTTTCTACATTACAAACCTTGTTGATAAGAGGAAGAGCAAAGAAACTAACGTTTTTCCGTAGCTTTCCGGCTCATATCCAAGTGCGAAAATTATGCTGAAGATCTGAAAGCATTACTCACACAAAATTCGGAGTTTTCGCTAAGATAGCGTAAGACGTAGGTTCCAGGAAGAACACAAAAGAGTGAACGGTTACTTTCCCTGCGTATTGCTACCAACAACCTCAAGAGAATGTCAAAAGGTGGGAAGGGTCAAGTCGAGATTTCTGCAAGCACGAACCCCAGCTAGAATTCCTGGAATTCCGTGAAGATTGTGTACGCCACAGGTGTCGAACAGCTTGAAGCGTTTCTCGAGTTTTGGCTGAAATCTGTAGACTATGACTCGTGAAGTCAAAACAGAAATCAGAGGAGCGTGCTCACACTCAGCCAAGCATGACCGATTACAGAAACGAAACTTGCGCATATGCCAACGGCAACAGCGTGAGATGGATACAGTACGGCGTTGGCTGCTGATCCTAAACGGTTCATTAGTTCTGAAATATTCGTAAGACATCATCAGGTGGAACAAGCTTAGCGACAACAATTTTACAGTATGAAAATTGGAAGCACTTCTGAACTTTGAAGCTGTTCGACTAAGGAGGGAGGTAGAGTCTGGTTTCCCAAAAAGTTACAATACTCCTTCAAAGCAAAAATGTCTACCTATAGCCACTCCTCCTGAAAGTGTCGAGCTCTGAATGTGAATCATATTGAATCGACCGAGATTGTCGACGAATGAACTGAGTATAAACGTTGTCACCGTCCCGCTCGCCATCGCCAGGTATGTGTTCATAATGGCGCGATGACGTGCGTCTTCTGAAAACGAGACCTTGATTTCGTTGGCACAGATAGCACATTTAGGCAGCACGTACGAACTCTGACCCAAAGTGATTTTTAGGGCAATTTCATAGTATAC